AAAATGCTGGAAATAAGGTTCAATTCCTTAAACTAAAATTCATTAGCTTTCATATTGGTCTATAGGATAATCTTTTTTTTGCTTTTTAATCTTCCACAACTTTTATTTTATTGAAGTAAACCAAACAAGAATTCAGTGTATTGAAAGACCATGGTGAACTGATCCTACTGACGCTGTCTTTAATTGCTTGAATTTTCCTCTTTAATCAGGTTATTCAAGCTGATAACTATTTTTTTCTTACCGAAGTTTCTTGAATCAGCTATCTCCCATTAGGACATGGTTTCTGCATTTATTTTCCTGAGAATTTGAACAATATATCATAGCTTTGAGTAGGTAATCATTCATCAGTGAACACTAAAGGGACTTCAGTATTTTCAGCAAATGTCTCTTTTTGGGTCTGACTGAGGGAAGAAGTACTTCTGTTGAAATTGTTGGCAACAGAAATACACAGCACCTAAGTCAAATACTATGCCTATACTATGTTGTTATTGATATCAAAGTAAAATAGAAGGTTGTGCATTAAATCTATGCAGTTAAAAGAGTTTGCCTTGCACTTTTTTTAATTTAAGTCTCAGGCGTCCAGAATTTCTACAAACATTTTCAATATGCACTTGCAAGGTAGACTGACGTGTTGTTCCCAGATGCGTTGTTCATTCCTTAAATATTGTCCTCCTTCAGGGGGTTTGATTTCAGATTATACAGATCTATTTTTATCCTGTTCCCTCTTTACCTTGCTTCTAACAGCAGCAGTCAAGATGTCAGTAAATGTTAGCATGGCTATGAAGTTAAGTATTTATTTAAACATACCTAAACAAGAGGCACTGATGATGACAAAAACATGTACATTTTTAAATGGGAATTTGGAATGAATTCCTAATGTTACACAACTATTAAGAGGTTTTGTATACAATTTGAGTCAAAGTAGATAAATAGATTTGCAATTTTAGAGGACCAGTTGTTCATCTGTTCTGACTAAAGGTTGTTATATTGCTTACCTATTTATTAAGGCTGATTAAATGATTAAAGTAGTATCTTTCAAAAAGCATTGATGTGAAGACATCAGCAACTGTAGAATCCATTTATTTTATGGTAGTCTGGTACAGAGACCCCACTGGTAAAAATATGTGAGATGATTCTAACTTCATTTCATTTTGTTTCTCTTTTCAGTCATTTACTTTTGTTACACTTTTCTCCACTGAATTAATGATGCCTTTAATGCTTGATATTTTCCCCATTCAAGGGCTGTAATCAAGTCACCTTTCTATCTTCTTTAGAAAATAGATTGAATGTGTCATCAGGTTTGGGAATGATAAGTAGCGTGGATGATTAAGGAAACATTCCTGTTCAAGACTGAATTCTTCCTAAAAGATGTTAGGCAGTTGGTAGAGTTTTTTTATTGAATTCACTCCAGATAGACCTATGAAAGATGTGACTTGTGTTTTAGACCATGTGTGCAGTTGCTGTCTCAGTATCTTCATTTAAAATGATCCCCCTTGACCTGATTAGGTAATTGGCTCCCAAATCACACTAAACACACTGCTTTTTCCAAATTAACAAAAAGAAAAATATAATTTTTTGCCCTTTGCAAGGAGATGCCAAAGAGAAAAGTTAAACACCGTCATGGTTTACCCCCAGCCAGCAACTAAGCACCATACAGCCACTCACTCACTCCCCCCGGGTGGGATGGGAGGGAGAATCAGAAGGGTAAAAGTGAAAAAACTCATGGGTTGAGCTAAAGACACTTTAATAGGTAAAGCAAAAGCCATGCGCACAAGCAAAGAAAAACAAGGAATTCATTCATTACTTCCCATTGGCAGGCAGGTGTTCAGCCATCCCCAGGAAAGCAGGGCTCCATCAATGTAACGGTGACTTGGGAAGACAAACGCCATCACTCCGAACGTCCCCCCCTTCCTTCTTCTTCCTCCCCCAACTTTATATATACTGAGCATGACATCATATGGTATGGAATATCCCTTTGGTCAGTTGGAGTCAGCTGTCCCAGCTGTGTCCCCTCCCAACTTGTTGTGCATCCCCAGCCTACTCACTGGTGGGGTGGTATGAGAAGCAGCAAAGGCCTTGCCTCTGTGTAAGCACTGCTCAGCAATAACGAAAACATTCCTGTGTTATCAACACTGCTTTCAGCACAAATCCAAAACATAGCCCTATACTAGCTACTATGAAGAAAATTAACTCTATCCCAGCCAAAACCGGCACAAACACCTTTTTTACCATCCTTGAACCATGAATTTTTCCTTTGATACGTCTCCCGTGCTGTGATTAACAATATTTCCTTATCTCCTCTCAGGCTTTTCTCTATGCCTTTTCTAGCTATTTTTAGTCTTCCCTAAAAGAAAGTTGCACTCTCTTTTTTAACAAAAGGTTAAGAATATCTTGGTAATGGTGGCAGAAAAATGGGGAGGACTGAATGGATTCAGGAGTAGAAACAATGGCAGGAACAACTCATTAATCCATTTGGCTTGTGGAATTACACTTTCTGGCCTTTCTTTGGGTAGAGCAGTTGGAGTCACTGTTTTGCTGATTTGCCTTCTCCTGTTTAGTAATACGGGTGGGTCAGCAGCACCCATTCTTGTCAAATGTGTTCAGTCAAAGGGAAAAAAAATAAGGTAAGCATTGATATATAACCTCATCTACGAGTACTGCTGGCGTACAATATTATACTGAAGTATAACAGGACAGTTAAATAGTAGATTGAATAATAAGAAACAATTGACCAATCCATGTCACTTCATGTTGCAAATATTCTCTTTTATATGCACTAATACCAGTCAATGGCCTTGTTCTGAGGAATGGTCTTCTTGGTTTTTCCTGTTAGCAAGCTCTAACATCTGCAAGTTGCAATATACTTTTGCTGTAATTTGGTTACTATGGTGATGAGAGATAGCAACAAATTCACGAAAGATTCTTTGAATGTCCTCTGATGCTAAAGAGAAGTGAATAATATGTCCTAAAAGATAGATCCAATTCATTTTGCCTTATTGAAGCAACCATTTCCAATGAACTGAGTGACAAAAAGGAAATTGTGTTTTGACCCTTTTTCTGCTAATGGGATTTTCTTGTATAGTGTTTTTTGCATCAGCTGTTCTGGTATATAATAGAGACAGGGTGTGATATTTTAATCTCCTGGTAACTGTTGTTCCATCTATTTACAGTTGCTCTACATAACTAGCCTGTGTTAGTAAGGAAATTATTAGAGGTTCACATACTTATCTATTAATTGGTTTAGAACGAATTAGCTATGTTTACTTGGCAGTTTACAATTCTGAGTTAAAATTATTCTGTTTACCATTTCAAAAGTATACATCTTTTTGTAAAGTATAATTTATTGTTTTATGAATGTCTATTTTTAATGCAGTTGATTCAAGTAACTAACAAAATGTGGAATCAATACATACTACTACTTCAGAATAGATTTATTATAAAGATAATGCTATTGCTACAGCAAATTATTGAAAAAAGCTTCAGATGTAATCTGTAAGTATGTGTTAGAAAGGTGGTTTAAATCAGAGTACCAAAGTACAGGATATGTAAAAAGCATATTTGCTATATAATTTTCCAGAAGTAAATGGAAGTAAATTCTTAGCTGCTATAATTCTGTTGTATCTTTGATGTTGCACAATTAAAAAGAGTTAATTATCCAAAATACTTAGGCAGCTCATAACTGTTGAGGTATGCAGGCAGATTAGTAAACCCCTGCCTGGAGTTTTAAAGGTGGGGGGGAACTGGGGACTTTTCAGGGATTATTTTCTTGCAAGGCCAACAGAGCCTGGGTAACCATATCAGTAATCCCACATAAAGCCAAGATTATCTTGGTAACCATATCAGAAATACTGAATTGGTGTATGGAAGTGACAAAACTGGGACCAATGGGGAGAAACACTTAGGTAAGTGTTGTTCATCTGGGAGAAGAAAAGAGTGAAGAAAAGTAGGGATCAAAGGTAGGTGGACGGCAGAAGTACAAATATGAGAAAATGCAGAGAAAAGGTGATAAAAGGGCTGGCTGAGTGTAAGCAGGCTGCGGCTCATTACGCTTGTCTGGCTGAGCCCTGCATCCGATCACTGCAGTCTCTTTTTTTTACTGTTTCTGTCTTACCACCCTTCCTAGTGGGCAGGGGTTAAGCTGGACTAGCCAGCAACTAGAATGATACCCAGATCTGGAATGACTCAAGGTCTGAGCCAGCAAGTTGGCAATAGGTCCAAGATCGGGGTATGGATATCAGACAGACTTAAAACCTGTGCTAATATTTGAGGCATCCGTTAACGTGGGTTTATTTGTGCATTTAGAAAGTGAGGAAGTGTGTATGTTTGCTGGTGAACTTCAATACTGACTAGCCAGAGAAGAGGAAAAAGTTTGAGCCATCATTGCTGTTCACGCTCACGAGTGCTGTTTGTGTTTATGTGGCACAGGGAAAGACACTGCTCTCCATGTTGATCCATGTGGTCACTGTGTCTGTATTGTGTCTGTGTGTGTGTGTGCATGCACACGGGATTGTGTGTGCACCTATTGAGAGTGCATTCAGCTTCATTACTGGCTGGATCTATAAACAGGAAAGGCAACAACCTCCCTTAACAAAAACCCCTGTGAAAGAGATGTTCAGTGACTCTTCAGTGTCTCCTGGGACTATAGTTCCAGTTCTCACCCTCCCTTTGCTACAGATGAGTTTACACATTCCCACATACTTCTACCATGTTTATTCACCAAAACAAACAAAACATACAGGAATATTTTAAGTTCTTTGCTTTTTAAATGGTGATAGTTTATAGGTGTCCCAGACAGTAAATGGAGCTTCACAGTGTAGACAATTTAAGAAAAACACAGTAAATAAAAGCCTCTCAATCCCTCCTAAAATTAAAAAAAAAATAGAATTAATGAGAAATAATAGGGAAACACAACATAGTGACAAGGTAATGTTTATGGGCAACATATCAAGAAGCATCATTCACTCAAACACTCCCTAATTTTTTGTGCTTATTTCTTTTAGGTCCATTTTGTGAGGAATCTGGTGATCCTTGTGCATCTCAGCCATGCCTGCATGGGGGCATATGCCAATATAATCGGTCTGGATATATTTGTGGTTGTCCTGCTGGTTTTCTTGGTCACAGTTGTGAAATTGATATCAATGAATGTTCTTCAAGGCCATGTCAGAACAGAGGTACATGTATCGATTTACCAAATGTAAGTATAAACTTCAGAGATCCCTATTTGAACGTAGAATCGTAGAATCATAGAATCACAGAATCACAGAATCATAGAATGATTTGGTTTGGAAAGGACCTTTAAAGGTCATCTAGTTCCAACCCTCCTGCTGTGGCAGGGACATCCACTAGATCACGTTGCTCAAAGCCCCATCCAACCTGACCTTGAACTCTTCCAATGACAGGGCATCCACAACTTCTCTAGGCAACCTGTTCCACTGCCTCACCACCCTCATCGTAAAAAAAATCTTCCTTATGCCCAATCTAAACCTACCCCCTTTCAGTAGGGTACCCTTTTGCCCTTTGCCCCTTGTCCTGTCACTAAAGGCCTTGGCAGAAATTCTTTTTCCGTATTTCTTATAAGCCCCCTTCATATATTGAAAGGCCACAATGAGGTCTCTCCAGAGCCTTCTCTTCTCCAGGCTGAACAACCCCAATTCTCTCAGCCTTTCTCTATAGCCATTTTCATGACAATCTTCTGGACTCGCACTAACAGGTCCATGTCTTTCTTGTGCTGGGTTCCCAAAGCTGGACACAGTGTACTGCAAGTGGGGCCTCATGAGAGCAGAGTAGCGTGAGAGAATCACCTCCCTTGACTTGCTGGCCACGCTTCTTTTTATGCAGCCCGGGATACAATTGGCTTTCTGGGATGCAAGCACACATTGCTGGCTCATGTCCAATTTTTCATACACCAATAGCACCAAGTCCTTCTCCACAGGACTGCTCTTAATCCATTCATCACCCAGTCAGTGCTGATACTGGTGACTGCCCTGATCCAGGTGCAGGACCTTGCACTTGGCCTTGTTGAACTTCATGAGATTCACATGGGTCCACTGCTTAAGCCTGTTAAGGTCCCTCTGGATGGCATCCCTTCCCTTTCATGAATCAACTGCACCACTCAGCTTGATATCATCCGAAACTTGCTGAGGGTTCACTCAGTCCCACTGTCTATGTTATTAATAACGATATTGAACAGTACTGGTCCCAGTACGGGCCCCTGAGGGATATCACTTGTTATTACTGATCTCCATTTGGACATTGAGCTGTTGATTGCAACTCTTTGGACACAGCCACACAGCCAATTCCTTATCCATCGAATAGTCCATCAAACCCGTATCTCTCTATTTGGCAACAATGATGTTGTGTGGCATGATGTCATAGACCTTACAGAAGTCAAGGTAGATAGCATCAGTTGCTCTTCCCTTATCTGTCAACACAGTCACTCCATCATAGAAAGCCACCAGATTAGTCAGGCATTATTTTCCCTTTGTGAAGCCATGTTAACTGTTTCTAATCACCTCCCTGTCATCCATATGCCTTGACATAGCTTCCAGGAGGATCTGTTCCATGAAAGTGCCAAAACATTTAATTCTAAATGTAACTTTTTAGCTTTGCATGCTTCATGAAGAAACACAGCATTGTCTGAATGTGTAGTGTTTCTAATATTTCTAAGGTTAAAAAGCCCAAATTCCACATTTTCAGTTCAGTTGCTTGGAGGTCACTCAAGAAACTATTGATGTTGTTTTTTTGTCTCTCTCTAACAAAATCTGATATAAAACATGATACATCCGTCTTCTTTATTTCCTAGTGGTTGTTTCCTATTGTTGCTTTTCCTGTGGTATCTGTTTTTAATTCATTTTTTCTTTTTGTAAAATAGAATAAACTCATGCAGACTCACAAAGGTTTGATAATAGATCCATATCTGGTAGTATTTCAAATTGCATTGTCGATGTTCTTTCATTAGCATGACTATTGCAAATAGCAATGATTATACAGAACCAAAACAGTGAAATAAGAGTTCAAAAGCTCACTTATCATATACCAGTGATAAATAGTCACTCACAGAGAGAGAAAAAAGAGACATCCAAATTGCCAAACAAATTGATAGATTTCTAAATTATGCAATCTGCCTAAATATTTTGTCTGGTAGATAAACTAACACATACTATTTTGTACGATCATTTCTATAGACAAACAGATGCAGTAGTTTGTTTCACACATACAGAAATCTCTCAATAGATGTTAAAATAAAGTTCCCTGGTCATGCTTTTAAGACCTATTCTGAAGAAACACCTGAACACTTCCAATTTCACTGGGGGAATAAAGCCCTATATATTTTTCCTTTACTTTTTGATGTCAAAAGGCCGCTAAAGAACATTATATAGAAAAGGATGAGAGCGTCAGCTTTAATAAATATCTTGTTTTGTAAAATAACTTACTGTTCTTACTATGTAAATTACAGATTGCAGTAACTGACAGATGTCTTTCACCATTATAGAGAAGTATACTCTCTGTGCTTCACATTGAAGCGGAAAAAGGTTACAAACCATTTTCTTTCCTACTCTAGTTAGTGATACTGTTTGGTATCTGAGGTACCTTGTGCACTGTTACTGTTTGATAGATGCAAACATTACATTGGAACAAATTCAGAAATGGGGAAAAACCATATAAATGAATTATAAAGTTCCTTCTTGATTCAGTTATGAAATTACAAAGCCAGCCAAATTTAGAGCTGGTATATTTCCAGGTAACAAATCCAACTCTGGTATAATCTGTGCTGGAAGGCCTGTTCCACATGTCCTAAATTATGTTTGTAACCTATTTGGGGCTAGGGCTGCTTTTTGTTCTCTCTTTATAAACTGTTTAATATGATGAGACCCTGTCCTAGTTAGGGTCTCTATAGTAATGGAAGTAAACACTAATTTCTGTATTGCCTTCGTTACAATGAATAATTATTTCTGATTTCCTTCTCTTCTATAGGATGTGGCATGTATCTGCCTGCCAATATTCACTGGCAAGTTCTGTGAGAGAATACTGAATCCATGTGAATTGTTTCCTTGCTTAAATAATGCCACTTGTGTAGCTCAACAGCAGAACTATAGCTGCCGGTAAGATTAGAAATTAATTTATTTCAGTACTTCGTTGGATCACTTGATTATATCCCACTGATTGTAGAAAGAAAAGATATCATCAGTCATAGAGAACACAGAAAACTATAAACTTTTCTTTTAACAATTTTTTATTTAATTTTGGTGCCCTACTGTGTTAGTCTTCTTGAAAAGTCTTGAAGTGCTACAAAAAGTTTTAAAATATTTAAGGAGTTATAAATTGTTTTTGTAAGATAAAATATATAAATCCTGACACACTGATGACAAGTGGGACAATTAAACTACAGGTACCACGCCCATTCAGGGTGTATGATGTTTATGCCATGTTTCTGAAAGGGTAAAACAACTGTGTTAATTTCTAATTCACAGACATGCTTTAGTAGGTCTTAGATTGATCCTTCAAGCAGCATATTAAAAACTGCTTCATTCAGAAAGACCATGCTAAAAATAATGCATTTGAAAATAAGAAAAATGACCCAGTAGGTATATAATTTCCTTCCATTTTAAATAGCTTTGTAGATATTTTCTTACACCAATAAGGAGTACAATTTGTATTCTTCACATTTGCTTGGCTTTTATCTGGCTGCCTGAAGTAAGTTCTGTTTAGCATTACTGAAGTGCAGTAAACGACTTCAAATTTTAGGATAATCATAAAAGCAGAAAATTGAAAGCTGTTGTACACAAAAGCCTGAAAACACATTATGAATGAACTTAGTAGCTGCAAATACAAAACAGAAGTACAGAACATAAAGTTACAGTCCATCAGAAGAGATTCAGTTCAGAAGTCCGGAAATTAAAACATAAGTAGAACTATGTTTACAGTTTTCCCAAAGAAGAAAAAAAGACATACAATTTTATTTATACTTACACCTAAATACATATATACATACATACACACACATACACATACAAACACATACACAAAGTTAGATCTTCCCATACAGATACGTATAGTAATTATAATTTATTTTCCAATACTTTAAACCAAGATATAAGCCACTAATAATTTACTATTACAGAGCCACTCTTTTACCCAGTATGTTGGTGCATGAATTAGTATGAAATGATGCCTGAAGCTTACATTTAAAAATATGCATAACATGAAAAAATAATATCAAGAGGTAGATTGCCTTTCTTTAAAAAAAAAAAAAATTAAAAAATATCCTGGCCCTGTGTGCAATGCAGATTGAATAATTTACAATTTCACAAAGCGCTGGTAGAAATGGTCTGTACCATGAACCTCATTGTACCATGGAAACTGGTTAATAAAAATAGCTATGGAAAGGCACGGTGATTTAACAGTCTTTCAATTGATATACTATGTGAGAATAGGAGTCATTATTTAGGTCAATATAACAGAAAGTAAAAATGGGCAATTAACAACCCAACTGTGTGTCCAAAGAAGGGCAATGAAGCTGGTGAAGGGTCTGGAGCACAAGTCTTATGAGGAGCGGCTGAGGGAACTGGGATTGTTTAGCCTGGAGAAAAGGAGACTCAGGGGGTACCTTATCGTGCTCTACAACTACCTGAAAGGAGGTTGTAGCGAGGTGAGTGTCGGTCTCTTCTCCCAAGTAACAAGTGATAGGACAAGAGGAAATGGCCTCAAGTTGCACCAGGGGAGGTTTAGATTGGATATTAGGAAAATTTTCTTCACTGAAAAGGTTGTCAAGCATTAGAACAGGCTGCCCAGGGCAGTGGTTGAGTCACCATCCCTGGAAGTATTTTGAAGACCTGTAGGTGTGGTGTTTAGGGACATGGTTTAGTGGTGGACTTGGCAGTGCTAGGTTAACGGTGGTCGTGGTTTAACCCCAGCCTGCAACAAAGCACCACACAGCCGCTCACTCCCTCCTCCCCCTGGTGGGATGGGGCAGAAAATCGGGAGGGGAAAAGTGAGAAAACTCAGGTTGAGACAAAGACAGTTTAATAGGTAAAGCAAAAGCCACACATACAAGCAAAGCAAAACAAGGAATTCATTCACTGCTTCCTATCGGCAGGCAGGTATTCAGCCATCTCCAGGAAAGCAGGGCTCCATCACGCCTAACAGTTACTTGGGAAGACAAACGCCATCACTCCAAATGTCTCCCCTTCCTTCTTCTTCCCCCAGCTTTATATACTGAGCATGACATCATATGGTATGGAATACCCTGTTAGCCAGTTGGGTTAGCTGTCCTGGCTATGCTCCCTCCCAGATTCTTGTGCATCTGGCAGAGCATGGTAACTGAAAAGTCCTTGAGTAGTGTAAACACTACTTAGCAACAACTAAAACATCAGTGCATAATCAACCTTATTCTCATACTAAATCCAAAACACAGCACTATACCAGCTACTAGGAAGAAAATTAACTCTATCCCAACAAAAACTAGGACAATGGCTGGACTCAGTAATCTTAAAGGTCTTTTCCAACCTTAATGGTTCTATCATTCTATGATTCTATGATTTGTATTGACTATCAAGAGAATCACTTCAATTATGTGGTAAAATTAGGTACTAGAGGTTCTAGTTTTGGGCTCAGATGGTACAATCCTGTTTACTACTAATATCAAGCATTAAGATCCTATTAATATCAGTGGTGCTTAGGTTTTACTTTTAGTATTTGTGTATTATTTATGCATTCAGTTGTGCTATCTGTAAAATACATATTTGCTGAGACACGCAAGACACATTTGTGGGAGCTAGTTTGAGAAATGGGATAGGTTATAAGCTTATTATTTTTAACACTAAGAACACTCTAAAAAAAAGGAAATAACATCCTAGAGAGAACACTATGAATAGAGTAATGAAGAGTGCATCCTTCAGCTTTGTACAACATCGAGTGCTTAGCCCTGTACATACTGTTTAAATAAAAACTTTGGATAGTATTTAATTCACATAGTTTTCCCTGGCATCTAAGCTGCACATAAGACTTTCTTGGTGAAGGAAGAGAAGAACTCCAGAAAGTGACTCATCTCTTCCAAAGAGAAATGTATCCAGGACAGGTGAAATGAAGCATCTTCTGGAGGTTCTGAATCTTCTCTGTACAGAGGTACAGAGAAAGCCTGAACTGCTGTCCTAAACCAGACACTAAAACTGCAAACTTTTAATGTTAGATAAGTATGGCAGCGTTGGAACTTAGTTTCAATACTCAGCCTCAGTTTTGCCATTCAGTCCCTGAAGTGATTGTAATATTTTTTAGTGTTTATTGTTAACAAATTGAAATTTATTTCCTCATTTTCTGTGAAAATGAGATCAGTTTTCTACCCCTTAATCCCAAATATTTAGTAAGTGTAAATTCTGTGTGTATTTATGCTTGCATGCTTGGAAGGAGACATTTAGGTGAGAGAAAGCATTTTGAGGGAGTATGAATCACGTACTTTTCATAAGGAGACCAGATTCAGTAATTTGGTTGTGAGAGCTGCAGTCTTGACAAAGTCAGAGTGCTGAAATGTAGAGGAGGTGCCGAGTTTTAGAGAAGGCCAACAGTTTTACTGGTTTTAGGATTCAAAATTCTCTCTTTAAATTTATGTCTTGCATTAGCTACTTGAATGATAGAGGCTGTCGGAAAGCCTATAGGAACAGTGGTTTAACAGTTTCAGCTTTTTTAAGTCACAGACTTGGAAGCTTTCTGGCTGTGAGTCATGTTTTAATTCATTTACCCAAAGAAAACCTACCATTAACAATGTTGCTTTATTCAGGAGGTTTTGGAGCTGCTCAATCAAAGTTTTAAGTGGAGGTTTTGTTTCATTTTTGGTAATGTCAAATGCTGTAGGTTATGACTATGTCTAGTTACTCCACAAAAAACTGCGTTTCCTTCAGTGTAATACTACTACCTGATCCACTTTTACAGCATTTTAACATTTTAAATAAATGTAATGACATTTAGCTCACATACATATACAAATTCAAATAATAGCTGAATTGACCTTTTAATCCTTTTTGTTTTGGTTTGGTTGCCCTTATTTTGTCTGCTTCTCCTTACGCAGCCACATTCTGCTTATATCCATCACCATCTCAGCTTCTATCTACTTATCCTTTCTTCTTTGGGAAAGCAGTTGTTTTCCATTCTAAACATATAACCAAACAGACTCAATATAATTTTCTTCACTTCAGTTGTGATGTATGACTATCTTGTATCCTCATTCCATCCTTTCAGTCTTGATATCATACACAGCTTTGTGCTAAGAATCTAATACTAACATTTTTTCTTAAATGTCAAAATTTAAGGTGAATTCAAATAGGCCGTGAACAAGGATATCCATCACAATTAATTGTGATTGTTTATTTTGTATCTTCTTCTATTACCCTTGTTCTTTAGGACAATAAAAAGTCACAAAAATGTGAAATGGTGTTCTGAGAAAATTTGTTTGGTTAGTGTAATCTTTGGAACTTTACTGTCAACTTTCTTGCTGTTAATTTACTCTTACCTTCTCTGACATTGATATGTCTATTGCAAAACAACAACAAAAGCAAAAATAGAAAAAATGAGAAAATATAAAAATTAGAAGAAGCAGTTTCTAAAATTGTCTTACTAAATTATCTATTTTATGAAACAGTCATAGGTTACCTAAATAAATTGAACCAAGAAAACTAGGAGCTCTTTCACCTGATTTCGGACCATAGGTAAAAACAAATCAGTAAAACAAACATTGTAACTGAGTTGCTCTGATTTGGTTTTAAGTGTTATTTAAATATGGAATTATAACAAAAGATACAATTTTTTTTTTTTTTTTTTACTTCATATTCCTTTTTTATATAGATATAATACATGGATAAATGGTGCTGTAATATAAAAGACAACAAATATGCTATCTGTTGATATGAGTACTTTTCTTTAGAGGGAAAAATAAGGATGTAACTATCTGATATCTTTGAACACGCTGAAATAAAAGCAGCTAAGTATTATGAAAAACTCCTTTTAGCTACAATAAGTGAACCGGAAATTTGTTAAGAACAAACTTTGCAAGAATTTTGATTCCAAGTATTGAAATTGTAGCAATATAATTATAGGATTTACATACAGCAATTTTTTCAAGAGGAGGGTGAGGATTATGTAGTCCATTGCTACTTGTATAGAGTGTCCTCCTGTGGTTGTGTCTATACTAGCCTCAAAGAAAATAACTATCTAGAGAAGGTTTTCCCATATCCACCTACCTCTGTCCAAATGGTCCTACGCATGGACAGTGTGGATGCTCTCCAGGGGTTTTAGGTGAAATCCAGCCTGTTTAACACTTCACCAAAGGCTAATAAGTGACAAGCTTCTGGACATGCTGGATGCCTCTGTGCATCCCTCAGAAGCATAGCCATAGCCACTGATTAGGTATCTTTAACTGATTTAGAAAATACGGTTAACTCAGATACTTTCTATTGAATGTTGTTGCCTGATCATTTGCTATTGAAAATATATCCTGTACTTTTGTATGCTACATAACTGTGAGAGCCTTCACGCATTCTGAAACCAGGGATAGTGTTATTTTTTAAAATGGGGAAACGTAAGCAACACAACTGAATCTCATATCCATCAAGAGCAAGAGTATAGAAAAAACAGAAGCAATTCTGTATCATCTTCGTGATTTCCAGCTTCTGGGCTGAGTCATTACACAAAGTATCCCTCAGAAAAAACTGAAGAAACTTCCTATTTATTACTTTTGGGTTCCTTCACAAACACAAATTTTCAGCTAACTTCTACATGAATCTTTTCTTTCCATGCTACCAGAAAGAGCCTTTAGACAGAAGAACATGCTAAGCATGTCTGTAAGAATATATTGAGTGAATTTGACAGGGATTATGTATCTATCAAAACGCAAAAGAGAGTTTTTGCAGCCTCGATTTTACATTTTGAGCAAGATATAAATATTCAAATATTTTTTCTACACTGTTCCTTTATTGCTTTTGAATAAGACTTGTTTACTATCCATTTGAATCTCATCTCTTTTTTTTGTGTATAGGGAATTTTTTTAAACACTGGAGGGCTAAGTAAGAAAAGGATTTTCTCCTACTAATAACAAGTTCTTACATGAAGCAGAAGAAATGTCTGCAGTTCCTTTTGCCATATAAGACTTATGCACAGCTCCATTGGCATCACATGGAACTAACCAACTGCTACAAAATAGAATGCTAGTTTTCTCCTTTAAAGAAAATACCGAATTACAATTAAGCAAACACAAAAACAACCATACATTGTCCTCTCCACAGGTTCTTCACATTGTTCCTTACATACCTAAGCATAATATTTTATGGAGAAGCAAAAATATCCAGAATCATGGTTTTTAATTGCTTGAAAACATGTTCTGTTTATTTTAAATAACATACGAGGTCTGTTTTGTTACCCCAAGAACATTTTTTAATAGAATTATGGAATATAATTAAATACTATGAACTTTTAAAATGCAAGTCCTCTAAAATACTCTGGTGTATTTGCAGCTGCATGCCAGGATTCACTGGAAAGAACTGTGAGGAAGTAATTGACTACTGCAAGCTGCTCAGCATCAACTGCCTGAATGAAGGATTGTGTCTTAATATAATTGGAGGATTCACTGTAAGTAATTTAATACATGTTAAACTAATTCAGTGCTCCAAAGTATAAAAGCTTCAGACAAGCAGAACTTGAAATGCATTCATTACTCTAAGAGACAAGAGGGACATACATTTATGTGTTTGTTATTTATTTAAATCAATAACACAAGGACGATTCACTTGGGTAATATGGATTTTTTTATTACTTTTCTACTGAGACTGTGTTTTGTACTATATCAAGTAAGAGAACTGAAGATACTTTTATAGTAAAAAGAATATATAACTAATTGTGGTCCAGTGCTATTATCCACACAGATGATAATCACAGCTATGTTGCAGCCGTTAAAAATACATCACTTGAATTGAGTACATCTGTTGCTATTGTTTTAACCAGAATCAAATTAGTAATTTAAAATAAGCAGATTTAAACTTAACACAAACTTAGAAGTTTGATGATGAAACTGCAGTGCCGTGAGGTTGATTCCAACTGACAAGTTGAAAAACTGTAATTCTGCTTGTTTTAACTTTCAAAATAGCTCTTTAAAATTGTTGAAGAAGATCCATCATGGACCAAGATTCTTCTGGCCATAGCTTGTCAAAAGAGAGGAACTAGTTTCCCCAACAGCAGTAATCGGGAACAACTTAAAGATTACTCTAAACAACCTTTTGTTCTGCAAATAACACGAGATGATCACAGAATAACAGAATGATTGAGATTGGAAAGGACCTCTGGAGGTCATCTTGTCCACTACCCTGCACAAGCAGGGCCACCTAGAGCCATGTATCTAGTCCTATTCCACTTAACTGTTTGGGTGTTCAGACAAAATATATTATTAGGATTACTGTTACTCCTTGCTTCAGGGAGTAGGAAAAGTAGTCTACTCTGTAAGGGGAGGACAACTGGAACCAAGGGTGACAGCAAGGTCATCAGGGACAGTGTCCTCACCAACAAGGGGCACAATCCCTCAATACCCACAGGAACACAGCAGATACACAGATTCAGCCAAAAGTCCAGTGATCACCAGACAAGTCCTTAGTGATGAAGCAGGTTCGCAGTCAAGCTGGGTAGTCAAGTCAACAGATCAGAATCAGCAAGATACAAAGCTGGATACAGGCATACTAACAAAATAGCTTAGGAAGGGATGTAGTGCAAAGGCCTGGGCTTAAACGCAGCTCATGAGTAAATGAAAGAAAGTGTGGACATCTCAGAGGCAAGTTCTGTTTTCACAGTAGGGTGATCTAAGGTAACAGTGCTGGGCTGCATCAGAGTTGACCTTGAACACAGGGGAAAGAGGTCACCAAGGAAGAGTGCAGAGAAAGATGATTATGGGCTGGTCAGGCCAATTAGAGCCTGTTGATGCATTCAAGGTCCTGACAGTTTCTCTGAATGTTCCTTGCATATAGTTATTCATTCAGTCCAAATATCATTGCCTTTCTTGTAGTCACAAAAGCTAAAGAGGCGTTGATATTTTCTCCCCAATGCTTTCCACCTGACTCCTTGTGTTTCCTCATGTTCCTTGAGTCTTACCTGATCTGAAAACTACCATATAGAGGTGACCAAGGATTGTTTCTCCTATTTACTTACGGAGACAAAGAGAAAAGAAGATTCCTGTCATTTGTTCAAAGTGGCCAGCCCATATTTTTGTACCTAGTTCTGTGTGCACATTCTAAGTCAGATACTGTTATCGACTTTTCAAGTGTCACTAAGAAATAAATTCATATCACTTTTGACCACATCACAGTCTCCCAATTGCTGCATCTTGTCCTTTCCCTTAGTTCCTGATCTTAATTGCCAGGAGCAAGTGTTTAGGTGGACCTGCTACTCATTCAAATACTTGCATTTCCACAGATATGTAATCAGATCTAAAATAGATCTGTAACAAGAACTTTATTTAATAGCGTGATAAAGTTAGTGAGGTAAATACATGTAAATAATAATTTCAGAAATTATTGTATATTGTATTACTGAAAGAAATAAGTATGTTGTATCTGCTAAATTCTTAATTCTGATGAAAATTCTTTTAAAAATTGTGCTTTAAGAACATTTTTTAATACTACCTATAAATATATATTAACTAGAGCAATAATATATAAATGTAGTTTAACAAAAATCTGAGGTAATTTGCAAAATATTGCATATCAGAGATTTATGTTAATAGAGTACTAAAACATCCATACTCAGAAGAACATAATTCTTGCTTTGTTGAGTATACTGTATATAATATACCCACAGAAAAATAAAATAGATGGCGAGGAACTCTGAGAATTTGCCTCTCCTCATTGTTGATAGCAGATGAAACAAAAAAATACTGAGTCCAGTTCTGCTGCAATGAAATAAAACGGTTCATGAAAAGATATTCTGATTTTAAAATGTTTGTGTCTCCCAGTTAACTTACCTACATGATAGAAAATTTAGATTCAAAACAGAAACATTGTTTTTAGCTCTTTTCAGCTACTTATGTCCACTTATATCAAGCAACAGCAAAACTTACAGTATAACAATTAGAATACAAAAGTGATATCATTAATCAGTGAGTACAATGTGTACAACATATTCAGACATCAAAGTGAAAACTAATGAAACACAAAAAGAAATTAAAAAACAGAGTTTTAGGAAAGCAAACAACAATGGGATACCAAATTTTTGTGTCGTTAGTAAGTGTGTTAACATTTACTGTTAGACACAAGCAAAATAGTTGTATAACAGTAAATGTTTTCATAAAATAATCCTCAAAAATACACTTCCATGACCAGTATAAGATGTGATACTTTTTTAGCAGACACTGAATTAGGCTATAAGATGGAGCTAAATCATCTGGCACAGCAAAGGTTGGATTTTTTTGTTTAAACTTTGATGCCTACAGAAGTGAATGGTTGGTATAGTACCTGATAGAAAACTAGTATGGCAGGCCTTTGGGACTGCCAAAGAAGATTGAGCAGACAAAGGGAGGAAAGGATGAAGAATACTAAAGAGCCAGATACAAATTACTGGATTTTTTTTTTTTTAAATATACATTATACTAAACCACAATTGAAAATCATTGCCCTTTTCCTTGACAGTTCATCTGTGGTGTGGCATCTTTATTTGGAAGATAAGCAGTTGTACACCAGTTATAGGTTAACTTCTCTTTGAAGACACAAACAACTATGGATTCTGTCCAGCCATTTTTCTTGCTTCTCTTAGTTGTAACTTTCTTGATCATAATTCATTTTTTCCCCATGGAAAATATATATTTTCAGTATTATCACAAAAATCAAATACTTATGGGCAATTTGAGAATTCCAGATGAGAGAAATTTGGCTGTTAGATTATTTTTTTTTTACAAAAGCAGATTTAGAAGTACTGAAACATTCAACGCATCTGTATAAGTGACACTAAGCAGTCCACCTCAAAGGAAAAAAAAAACCTACAACAAAATAATTTTTAAAAAATCAAGGTGTTGAATCTTGAAATCTAATTTAAAAATTCATTTTGAATAATCTCTAGTTTAGTTTCAAAGAGTAGTAAATACTTAGCATTGAAACAGTATAGTGTTATTTTTTCAGTATTGCTGTAACAGTTATTGGCACAAGTCCTTGATTAATAATTAGTATTAACTCTAAGTAATTGTAATATTAATAGTTACTCTGCTTACATTTATTATATTCAGTAACTTACTATATGTTTCTAAAATTATTTCTGCCTCTATTAAGAAATCCCTCTGACTAATGTATGTAAACTTTATGCTAGATAATAATGCTTAGTCATATATTGATGGTGCTGTTGTGTCAGATAAATATGGGATTTGTTACGTCTTAGGAAATGGAGCTTCTCTTTGCATTTCATATTCTCATATTTCATATTTTTATATCTCAATTCTCATATCTCATATTTGAGAGTACAGCTGTAGTGGTTACAAATAATTTCCTTTGCCCTTCGCATTGCTGCCCATCATCCTGGGAACCAAAGTCATGATGTATATATTGAGATAGGATTTATCAGTGGAAAAATAGTGCTTATTGCATAATTAATTCCAGTTAACATAGCTTAATGAAAACAGATCACATCAGACAAAGCAGATTTAATGAGATGATCTGACAGATAGTGATGGAGAAATATTTTCTGTTGCAATTCACTCATTAAGACAAAATAAATCATTCAATGGGGCATGTTCAATTCTAAGGAAAAAAAATCTAGATCATGATGACACTTTAATGGGTATAGCCAATCAGATGTATTGACACAGGAAAGTTGTTTTGTTTCCAAATAGTTACATGTTCTGCTTTTTGTAGCACACAGACCACACATCCCCCTACCCCTGTCCAGATGAAGCAGAAGATACCACAGTCTGTATAGCTAGATGCGCACGTTATGGTCAACTGCCAAGATGACTGCAAAAGAGCTAGACTTCTGTCTAAGATACATTTTTTTTTTTTTTTTTTTTTTTCAAAATTAAAAAAGTACAAACTGATTAAAATATTATTACTATATTATGGAACTTATATGCTTTGAAGATCTGTGAAGTAGTTGTTATTCTAATTGTAAAATTTTACTTAGATTTTTTTTGTAAACCATATTAAATTAACTAAAAACTGAGTGAATAGTCAAAGATGAAAATAATTATAAATTGGGAATTATTGTCCCCTGCAAGTGTTTTTAATGGACCTCATGGAAATTTGGTTTTGGACTAGTGATTTGTAGTACTTTGACGTAGTAGAAAATACAAAAATCTTTCTGTTGAAATGTGAAGATGACTACAGAAAATGGTAGTATAGTTAATAATAAGCAAATCTGATCCAGGTTTCTTGAAAATCTTTCTACTTAGAAAAGAATTTATTCTAAGAGAGGCAAATGCAATGCTGTATGCATAGGAAAAAGAATGTGATTTACACAGTAACGACTGTTTCCTGGTAGTCAGTGACAAAGAAGACAACTTCGAGCTCAAGGTGGATATTAAATTTGACACCGTACTATTGATGAAGACAGAAAGACAATCCCTGTAACCATAAATAGAGCACTTGTATATAGAAGCATTTGTAAGTGGTCATACTTCTGTGACTGTTAGTGGAGGGTACATCATAGGCAGTTCTATCACCTAAATTGTTTTAACAAGGCTGAAAAATTGGAAAACTCTATTAACAATGAGTTTTATGGAAAAACAACACTTTAAAACTATTCTCAAACATATGTACAGATTCACAAAGTTAAGCCAGTCCATGGGCTGTCAGTTTTCTTTGGAAGAAAAATAAAGCAAGAGTTGTATTTAAAATATTTAACTCTGGGTACCAAAAAGTGTTGAAGCCACATTAGCAAGGAAGTGCTAACAGTATTGTGCATAGTTCTGTGCAGCTGCTTCATCTACGCATTACTGATTATACCAGGAGCATTTTCAAAAATTGTTAGGTAATAAAATATGGTGTAATGCAGTGTATTATCAGTTTTCCATCAGATCAACAAAGCTAGGTCACATCTGTCTTACCCTAGTGAATAACTTCACTAGACATTAAATATCATGAGAATCTACTACTGTGGGATCCAAAACCCAAAATTCCCACAGAAAACTGAAGGCTGAACAGTTATTGTGGATTGCTTCTAGTAGTCAATGCAGCAGACTCATTCCACTGATATTAAAAGGATGGGAAAAGGATTGTATTTCCCAGAGTTGCCATAAATAGTCAAAACACAAAAAAACCCACTTTATTCAGGCTCTGGAGAAGGTCAAAGATACAA